CGCCGCCGCCGCCATCTTCGCGCCGCATTGACGCTCCGAGCGCCCACCCCGCTGGCCCCGCCCCTTAAAGGGGCCGAACCGGAAGAAGACCCCGCCCGGAAGCCCCCTCGCCCCTCGTCTTGTCCCTTTGGCCCTTTCTGGTCTCGGGAGGTGGGGACGGGAGCACCGAAGTGGTTGGCAGATTCTTGGCTCTCCACTTTGGCCACCCCCTCCCAAAAGATCATTCCCTCGTCCGTCCGTCCATCCATCCATCCATCCACCTATCCATTCATTGAACAAGCTTTGACTGCATGCCTACCACGTGCTCCCCGGGAACTCATTACATCACAGTAGGCCCAGTCAGAACCAGGTCCACATGCTTCTAGCTCCCTGGGTCAGGGCTTGAACAGAGAAGAGAAAGGTATCTTATAGCTAGGGCTTTAAGGGATGTGTAGGAGTTTGCCAGGTATGAGTGGTGGGGCAAGAGCATATGAAGCAGACGTTAGAGCACGTGTAAAGTTTTAAAGGTAGGAAAGTACATTCCGGAGCACTCTGGGTCCTGGAGCAGGGTAACACGCTTGCACCTATGTGCCAGACATTTTACTCCATTAGCTCATTGAATAAATCTGTGAGGTAGGTAATGTTATTATGGTCATTTCAGAGGAGAAGAAACAGAGGCTTGGAGAAATGAAGTCATCAGCTCCTTAAGTGGTAGAACAGAGCTGAACCCAACCAAGTGAGTCTGATTCTAGATCCAGCCTGTGGCAGGCACTGACTGCCTGTCTCACATGGGTACCTCTCCTTCCCCAAACAATCTCATTCAACCCTTTTTTAAAACGATTTTATTTATGGGGCGCCTGGGTGGCTCAGTCGTTAAGCGTCTGCCTGTGGCTCAGGTCATGATCCCAGGGTCCTGGGATCGAGCCCCACATCGAGCCCCACATCAGGCTCCCTGCTCCATGGGGAGCCTGCTTCTCCCTCTCCCACTCCTTCTGCTTGTGTTCCCCTCTCTCGCTAGGTGTCTCTTTTTTTTTAATTTTTTTTTAAAGATTTTATTTATTTATTTATTTGAGAATGAGAGAGAGAGAGAGAGAGCACATGAGAGGGGAGAGGGTCAGAGGGAGAAGCAGACTCCCGGCCAAGCAGGGATCCCGATGCGGGACTCGATCCCGGGACTCCAGGATCATGACCTGAGCCGAAGATAGTCGCTGAACCAATTGAGCCACCCAGGCGCCCAATAAATAAAATCTTTAAGAAAAAAGATTTTATTTATTTATTTGAGAGAGAGCTCGTGTGCGCTTGCGCACAAGCAGGGGGAGGAGCAGAGGGAGAGGGAGAAGCAGACTCCCCACTGAGCAGGGACTCCCCCTACCTCCAAGCGGGGCTCCATCCCAGGACCCTGGGATCATGAACTGAGCCAAAGGCAGCTGCTTAACCAACTGAGCCACCCAGGCGTCCCTCATTCAATCCTTCAAACTATGGTGGCCACTATTTTAAAAATTAAGTTGCATCAAACTTTTTGACGATTGCCTGTGCTCAGGAAGGGCTCAGCTGTCCCTCTTGGGAGTGAGGTCTCCATCTCTGGAGGTATACAAGACAGAAATGAAAAGCCCTGAGAAATATGATTGGCCTCCTGCTGCCCTTCATTATCTAGGGTTGTTCAGCCCAACTTCCTCCCTGGTCAGTGTAGAACAGTCGCTGGCCACGTGCTGTCTAACGTTCTAGTACTCCACTTCCTCTCTCTCTTTTTGGCCCTGGCATTCTTCCTCTATCCCAGTCCCTCCTTCTTAGCTCCCTCCCCTGTGTCCTGGCTGCTGGTGATTTCTTCCATTAGTGCTATGAGCAATAATAGGAGTGGGAGTGTCTATGTCAGGCTCTAGCTCACCTGTCAGGCTGGGAGCTCAGTTGGAGGTTGGGCCAGGCAGAGACCTCTCTGAAGCCCTGACCTTTTGCAAGACAAGGCTGAGTATCCCGGAAATGCATGATAAAGGCTTGTGGAATGGGGGTGAAAAGCCCATTTGTCCACCATTCATTTATTCCTTCATATGTACTTATTGATTGAGTTAGGACTTGAATCCAGGACCTTCTGACTGAAATCTATGCTCTTCCTCCTGCCCAAGGCTGTGAGGTATGATTGTTGCTATTAATCCTAGTTTGTCTTAAAGGGCCCTGAAGTGTGAGGATGTTCTCCACCAGGGTGTCTGATTTGGGAGGAAAGGTCCTCCCCAAGGACTCTGGGGGCTGATGTTCTCAGTGTTCTGGAGTCCTGAGGTTTTTCTGTCCCGGAGTGTCATCCAGGTAGATGAGCCCCGTATGGGAAATGTGGGGAGCATCCCCCCAGAGATGAAGCATCTGGGGGAATCATTTCTGAAATCCCAGGCACCAGAGTCAGGTCACTACCCTCCTGCTTTTGTCTACACCCAGCTCCATGCCTGTTTCAAGGTCATCCATCCCTAGAGGGATCAGATGATAGCATTTGTGGGGAAAATGGAGCCCTTAGCCCTCAAGACTGCTGGACACTCTTGTTTTCCTACCCTGGCAGTTCTTTTTTTTTTTTTTTAAACATTCTTCTTGAGGTTTTTTTGTTTTTTTTTAAGATTTTATTTATTTATTTGACAGAGAGAGACACAGCGAGAGCAGGAACACAAGCAGGGGGAGTGGGAGAGGGAGAAGCAGGCTTCCCGCTGAGCAGGGAGCCTGTTGTGGGACTCGATCCCAGGACCCTGGGATCATGACCTGAGCCGAAGGCAGACGCTTAACGACTGAGCTACCCAGGCGCCCCATCATTCTTCTTGAGGTTTAACATAAGGCATGGGCAAGTTCATAAATGTCTAAAGTGGAGATTGACAAGGGCGATGACCCCTCTGGTCAGGATCTAGGACATGCCCAGCTCCTGGAAGTTGCTTGGACTTTCCAGTTGACGCTCCCCTCCCTCAAGACAACCACTGCCCTGACCTTTGTCATTATAGGTGAGTTTTACCTGGTCCTGAACTTCACATAAATGGGATCACAGAGGGTGTCCACTCTTGGATCTCGCTTCTCTTATGGTGAGGAGCAAGTGTTCCTCCTTTTCGTGGCTAGGTAGTGTTCTCTGGTACCATTTTTATGTTGCAGCAAAATACATAGAACATATAACTTATTTAAATTTTTTTTTAGATTTTATTTATTTATTTGACAGAGAGAGACACAGCAAGAGAGAGAACGCAAGCAGAGGGAGTGGGAGAGGGAGAAGCAGGCTTCCTGCGGAGCAGGGAGCCCGATGCGGGGCTCGATCCCAGGACGCTGGGATCATGACCTGAGCCGAAGGCAGACACTTAACGACTGAGCCACTCAGGCACCCCCAACATATAACTTATTTTAACCATTTTAAAGTATATAATTCAGTGACACGTAGTACATTTAGTTCACAATGTCGTGCAACCTTCACTGATACCAGCTCCAGAACATTAGCATCCGCTGAAAAGGAGACCCCATTCCCATTAGCCATCACTCCCCATACCCCTTCCCCCAGCCCCTGGCAACCAATACTCTGCTTTCTATAGATCTGTCTGTTCTGTACATTTCATACACTATGTGACCATTTCTATCTGGCTCCCTTCACTCAGCATATTGTTTTCAAGGTGCATCCACGTTGTATCCACGTATGACCCCTTTATTCCTGACATCTGGTTTATCCCTTCATCCATCAGTGGACATTTGGGTGATTTGTACCTTTTTGCTATTGCGACTAGTGCTGCTGTGGTGAACATTTGTGTCCAAGTTTTTGTGGAATACCAGCTCTCCATTCCCTTGTGTATATGCCTAGGAGTGGAATCGCTGGGTCACGTGGTAATTATGTGTTTTGTTTTCTTTTTTTTTTTTAAAGATTTTATTTATTTCTTAGAGAGAAAGAGCACAGAGGGGGGGAGGGTCAGAGGGAGAAGCAGACTCCTCGCTGAGCAAGGAGCCCGATGCGGGACTCGATCCCGGGACTCCAGGATCATGACCTGAGCCGAAGGCAGTCGCTTAACCAACTGAGCCACCCAGGCGCCCTCTATGTTTAGTTTTCTGAAGAGCTGCCAGACCCGTTTCCCACGGCGGCTGCACCGTTTCACGTTCCCGTCAGCGATGTATGAGGGTTCCAATGCCGCCACGTCCTTGCAAACACCTGGATTTTATCATCATCGTCGTTACTATTCTTGTTATTAAAACCTCTGGGTACCAGTTTTTCACCGTTTGTCCATTTCACGTGTCGGTGGGCGTTTGGGTTGGTTCCTGTTTGGGGCGCTAGTGGATAAACTTGTTTTGAGCCTCTTTTGTACATGTCTTTTGGTGACTATACCTCATTCTCCCCCCAGTAAATGCCTAGGGGGGCTGGCTGGGAGGTGGGGTAAGAGATGGCCTGACTGTTTTCCCAGGTGGTCTGGGAGGGAGACTGTGCTACCACCATCCTCAGCAACACTTTAATTTCAGACTTTTTAATTTTTGCCTTTCTTCCCTCTGTCCTCTACCCCTCTCACCAACGCTGTACATCTGATCCATTAAGCATGTGTGTTGAGAACACTAGTTCTGGGTGCTGGGGAGGGGGAACAAAACTGCTGGTCCTGGGTGCACATCACTCCCAGTCTGAGACTGAAGGGAGCCTGAGGCCCCGGGGGCTGTACACTCTATGTGTTAGTTAATTTCACCCTTGCAACAATTTGGGACAAAGTCTCTGAGTAAACACATTTAATAAATGGGCAAGTGAGATTTGGAGAGGTCA